CCCGGTGTGGATTCTGCTGGGTGACAGCCAAGGGCCAGCGGCTTCCTGCCCGGCATTCCCGGTGCAGGCCCGGTGGGTTGGCCTAAGGTGGTCTGGAAGCGCTTACACTGCATCCTCCTACCGCAGCGCTCAGACGCCCTGGCTGGTCCCGATGCCACAAAGAATGCATTCACCCGCGCTGCACCAGGGGCACTGGCCGGCTCACTCCGGAGGTGGGGACACCAGGAAGGACCTCGCTACCAAATGTCAAGGCTGCAGAGACAATGGCTGCATTGTTCCACCTGTCTCCACGAAGCATCCGCTAGGGGCCAACGCCCCGACGTTCCACCTGTCTTCACAAAGCATCCGCTGGGGCCAACGCCCCGACAGGAGGCACGGATGTACTTATCTTGCAGGCCTGTGTTTCCTCTAGGGCCAGGACAGTCTCCCGCACCAGGAATGGCTGGGTGTCCCAGGGCCACAGACATGGTGGTGCCCCAGGACACCACCGAGGGCGCCAGTGAAAGGCGCGTGTGGGGCCATGGCCACTTCAAACTAGCCCACCTGATCTCTCGGGGGTACCAGTCAGCTTTCCTGGTTCCGGGGCCCCTCCCCAGTGAAAGCTGGTGTCAACGAGCTCTATGGTGGCCAGGTCCTGAGCTGCTCTGCAGAGGGTGGGGGATGGGGGCAGTCGCCTTCGTCCCCTCCCTGGAACTCCCCTGGGGAACTCCCCATGGGCTGCAAGCTCCCCTTCCAGGGACAGCCTGGCCAAGACTGCCACTCACCGCCTGCCCGCTTATCTTCTGGGCTGTTACGCAAGTGGCTCTGGCTGGCTTCCACGGGGGGCTCGTCACTGGCAGGGCTGGTGACCCCCGGGATGCTGGGCAGGTCCCTTGGGGGTGTTTTGGCCACAGGTGAGTTCCGACACTCCATCAGGAACTTGCGGTCGTAGATGATCCTGGTACCTGGAGGGCAGGGGGAGGCCGGGAGTCACCTGACCCTCTCCGCTGGCTTTCCCATGGCTTTCCCACTTGCCGGAGCGGGGCCCCTCCCACACAGGCTGAGCCCAGCAGTGGCCAGCTCGACCTACTGGTCCAAGCCTCCGTGACTCCCCTCCCCACAGCTGTTCCGTGCACTTGTGCCCCCAAAGCTGCTCAACCCCCTGGCCCTCAGTGCTCTGTGGGAAAACCACGACAGCCACACTCCATGGGGCAGAAATTGCGCCCTTCTCATTCAACGACCCACACTCTCCAGACAACCCCAGCCCCTCACTAACCACGAAGCCAGCCGACAATGAAGTGGTCCCCAGTCTAGTAAAACGTCCTGCCTGGGCTTTGTGGAGGGAAGGGGGGCGACAGGCCCTACCTATGGGTCCTGAAAAGGCGCCTGCGGGGGCTCCGGAAGCTGCTCCACACCCCGTCCTGCATGTCCCTGGGTTAGTCTGTCCCTGCTCTGTGTCCTGCTCACTCTCCTCTCTTCTAACCAATGGTAGGTACGTTTGTGCCCATGCATGAGAGGGTGGGGAAGGAGGGGGAGAGCCGGCGCCTCCCGGGGGGCCTGGTTATGATCCTCTCTCCAGTTCTCCATCCTGTTAGCACCCTGGCGTGCACACACACCCCTGGGGGCTGGACCCGCACCCGGTCGGCCACAGGGGACACAGTTTCTGCAGGGCGCCTAAGCAGGTACTACGGGCCGGCCTCCCGCTCCCTCACAGTGCTGCTCTTCCTCGCGGGCAAGGCCCCATCCTACGGAATCACTCACCGTCCTCACAGGGACCCAGGGCCGCCTAGGTGCAGCTGCCTGGGCGACACTGTGGAAGGGAGTGGCTCCCAAAGAACCAGACCCAAGACCCTTGTGGGAGACCTGCCTGCTCCCTCAGCTAACGAGAGTGGGACGGTCATTCGCCTTTCGTCCTTGCTGAATCTGTTACGGCAGTGGGGAACTAGTGGGCTATACTTTTTTTTCTTTTTTTTTTGACAAATGTGCTCGCCGGAGAGACAGAGGGAAAGTGATACACCACCTCCAGGAGGGATGGCCACGCCATAATCCTCTCTCCTCCTCGGAATGTGGGGCACATGCACACACACGCACACACACATGCACACACACACACCAGCATGCTTTTCAAGTGCTGGGTCTAGAACTTGAACCACGCAGTCAGCCACGTGGGATCAGGGCCTTAACCCGCAGGCCACCTGCTGGCCCCCAGTGGCCCATCTTTAACACTTGAAAACGCAGGGATGATTCCCCGACTTGGGAGAGCAGGCTTTGGCTTGTCGGCTGTGGGTCAGGCTAGAATGTGAAACCATCTGCGTTGTTGTCTTTCTTTTTATAGTTTCCTTCTATTTGCGGCAAGTGAATCTGGTTTTCCATATATAGTACTGCTGTCCTGTTTCCTTCTAATACACAGTTTAGTGTGATAATGACGTATCAGTTCTACGTGCTATGTAATATGTATGTGTGTATGTATGTATTTATTTACTTTTGGAGATTTTTGCTGTGGGGTGCGTGTGCTCACCAGAAAGAGAGAGAGAGAGACAGAGAGAAAGCGAGAAGCGTGGTAGTGTGGCATCGAGGCAGTGGGATTTCCCCCATGGCTGACTGCACGGTGAGTTCCGGCACCAGGGGCTTGGAAAGCAGGTCGGGCGCATGTACTAAGGGAAGGGAGAGGTGGAGAAACAGGATTGTGGCATGACCCTCCTCCGTGGGGTGCTTTCTCTCTTCCTGTGTCTCTGGCAAAATTAAAAACAAAAACCTGCCTTGCCCAGAAGGAGGACACACCGCTCCCTCCCACAGGAAGTCCTAGGAGCTCTGCGAGACTGGAGAGAACAGGAGCGCCCCCTGCAGGGCCCCGGCTGTGAGTTCTGGCACTCACTGCCCACCTCCCTAACTGCGAGCTGGGAGCAGGTGTGGGACTGAGGCGGTGCCTGCGCGCCAACCCCAACAGATGGGCCGAGGGCAGGGCGGTGGGCTGGCCACACCCCACAGGGGGGTGCTTCGCCCTGGTCGGTCCGTCTCTATCTGGTGAGTGCACAGGCTCTCTAGCGATGAAGAAAGGGGGGTACACGTTCATTAGCTGGTGTTACCTGGGATCTTACTCATCCCACCAGAGGAGAGAAGCAGAGGAAGACAGCATCTCTGCAGGGCCCCAGCCTGTGATGCACCCCAGCCTCAGCCAGTGCAGAGGTCTCAGGACACGAACTCAGGACCACCCCGGTGTGTGCAGCATGGTGGAGCCTTGCATTACCGCCACACCACTGGCTGGCCTTGTTGGGACTTGGCGCTCCACGTGTGCACCGGACACAGGAAGGGCATTTTTTCTCATGGCATACTTTGTGGCAGTGACGGTCTGCTTCAAAGTGACAGGGACATTCCCCGGGGCCCACTGTCCTCCCTACAAAACTATGGTGCTGTGCTGGGGCTCAGGATTTTGGCATAGGGCACATGTGCCTGCTTGAGAGAGACGAAGAGAGAAGTCACCTCCCAGGGCATGGCCGTGCCACAATCCCTTCTTCACTCTCCTCTTGCGCACGCACACCTGGTGTGATTTTCAAGCTGCTGGTTCCAGGACTCAAACCACGGTGGGCTATGAGGGATCTAGTGCCTTGACCGCCATGCCACCTCCTGCCCAGTCTAAGCCATTTTTAAAGTCCCAACCAGGAGTCACGTATTTTTCGGCTTTCCTGTCGGCCGGCAGTGGTGCGTACAGCATTCGCTCAGAGGCAGAAGTCCTGGCTCTGCCTGGGCTGGCCACACGCTGTCCCTCAGCTCTGAGGCAGTTTCCCTCTTAACTGGAGCGTGACAACAGAAGGACACCTCACAGGAGCACCAAGAACATGAAATAAAACAATGAACGTCTAGATGCTTTGTACAAGATAAAGTACGGGGGACCAGCAGCTGACGGACATAATGGCCATGTCGCTGGACTCCCATGTAGTCGACCGCGGTTCGAGTCCCAGACCCAGTGGCTTAAACTCACGCCGGGCACATGTGCGTGCGTGCCCAAGATCCCGAGAGGAGAATGGAGGAGAAGGGATTGCGGTGTGGCCATCCCCCCTGAGGGCTGATTTCTCGCTTTCTCTCTCTCTTTCTGGCAAGCCCTATAGCAAAAACCTCTCAAAAAACAAAACAAAACAAAACAAGAAAACAGAAACCAGAATAAAGTATGGGCCCAGCAGGTGGCGTGGAGGTTAAGGCGCTGGACACTCCCACGTGGCCAAATGTGGTTTGAGTCCCGAACCTGGTGGCTTGCTTTCTCACTTTGTCTCTCTCTTTAACTCTCTGTGTCTCTCTCTGGTCAAAATAAGTGAATGAATAAACAAAATTAAAATAAGTAATTCTTTTTTAAAAAAAAGAAGAAAGTACGATAGCCATGTAACTGCTATTAAAAAGAGAGCCGCAGGGCCGGATGGTGGAGCAGTGGTAATGCACTGGACCCACGTGGGAAGGGCCTGGATCTGTGTCCTGGGACCTCCCTGGGCATGCCAGGCAGATGCGGTGTCCATGACCGTGGCCAGCTAACGTTAGGGTTGGTCACAGAGTCAAGACCCCACGGGGCGCCCCTCCCCCATCTAACTTTCTCCTAGAGGACAGGAGCTTAAAAAAGACCAACACGGGGCCAGCAGGTGCATGGTGGTTAAGGCACTGGACTCGTACATGGCTGATGTGGTTCAAGTTCCAGACCTGGCAACTTGCTCTCTCTCTCTCTCTCTCTCTCTCTCTCTAGTGAGTGCATGAGCCCTGTAGCTGGACTCCGTGATAGTATTTCAATTAAATCAATAATTCTTAAAAAATAGACCAACACCTGGGAGAACATACACAACCACACAAAAAGGCCCCAAGCCAGGAGTAGGAGCCCTTTGAAAGACCAGGGCCGTTTAGCACCTCTGCCCTCAGGCTGCGGGAGTGCTTAGGTTCCAGGTGGGGTGGACACAGTGACCGCAGTCACCACTTGTCACCTCCTATCTGCACCCATGGCCTGGCATGCCAGGACTTAGACCCTCCACAGTCCCCACAAAGGAGATGCCACTATGATTAACCTGCAGAAGAGGAAACTGAGGCTCGGGAAGGCTGTCCCCTTGCAGCCACCCAGAGGCAGCTATGCTGTCTTGGCTCCAATTCTAATGCTACTCACAGTTTAAAATGGGCAAGACAGGGGCCAGAAGGTGGCATGGTGATTAAGGTGCTGGACTCCCACGCGGCTCACTGAAGTCCTAGTCCCAGACTTGGTGTCTCACTTTCCCTCCTCCATCTCTCTCTGATACATTTTTTAAAAATAATAATAAAATTAAATAAATCTTTTTAAAGAATAAATTTTAAAAAATAATACAACGGGCAAGACCAGGCCAGCCAGTGGTACAGGGGTGAAGGCAGCTGGATTCCACATGCCAACACGGTTTCAGGCCCAGACCTGGCAGGATGGTCTCTCGCTCCCCAGCCCTCTTGGTGGCTGCTCTGGGTAGGGGCCGTCCTGGCCCTACGGCAGGAAGAGGGTGGCCACAAAGACGAAAAAGTCGCTGGAGTCGATCAACTCTCGCTCCACCTTGTTATGAAAAGTGGGAAGTCTGTGCTGGGGTCCAAGCAGATCTTAAGATGACCAGACAGGGACCAGCAGTTGGCCTAATGGCTATGTTGCTGGACTCCCATGTAGTTGACAGCAGTTCAAGTCCCGAACCCAGTGGCTTAAACTCACACCAAGCGCATGTGTGTGTGTGCCCAAGATCCCAAGAGGACAATGGAGGAGAAGGGATTGCGGCGTAGCCATCCTCCCAGGGGAGTGATTTCTCGCTTTCTGTCTCTCCGTCTGTCTTTCCAGTGAGTGTGCACACTCTATAGCTAAAACCTCTCCAAAGAAAAGAAAACAAAAGTAGACCAGACGAGGCGAAGCGAAGCTGGCGACGCTCGCCAACAACTGCCCTGCCTGGAGGACATCGGAACCGGTGTCCCTCACCACAGTGGCAGTAAC